ATATTTATATGCCGAAACGGTCTCGATCTTCTCAGTGTCAACGAACATATTTATATGATAGGACCGTGTTTTTCCTAATGAAGGAGATTAGTTCACATTTTGATTTGTTTAACGACATCAACCTCTGTTTCCATCATGGGTAATATTTACAAGGTAATTTCGACGCTGGTTTTGATCGTGCATACATGTTACATTGTTATAGCGCACACAGTCATCTACAAAGAGGCGAATTTTAGAAGAAATGGTAGTGGAACGTAATTTATAAATATTTAAAAAGAAAAGATACCAGAACGGATCCTCAAGGTACATTCAAAACACCATTGTGAGGGTTGATTCGTGATCACTGATGACTGTGAATTGAACGCGGGAAAGAGGAAAGGCGCGCATCCATTCATACACCGAGGGTTCAAGGTGAAGATATGACAGCTTGGTATGGAGACGTTGGTGAGGAACGTGGTCAAAGGCTTTAGAGAAATCAAGAAAAATGACGTCAATTTGAGTACGACGCTCAAGGTTATTGTGTAGGTCATTAATAAAGTCTCTGAGCTACGCCTCACAGGAAAGTTCCTTTGCAAAGCCATGCTGATGTTTGAAGAATAATTTATTGGTTGCTGGGTGATTGATTATGTGAGAGTAAAGTATGTGTTCAAGTAGTTTTTATGAGATAAATGTTAAAGATATCGGAAAATAGAAACAAAAAACCGAATTTCCTGTGTGAAACTGGCACAACTTTGCCAACATTTTCGTCCAAAGAAAGGCGCCTTTCGGATAGCGATTGGTTAAAGGGACGCTGAACCGGTTTTGTATGTAGGGAAACATTCTTAAATCGTCTTCCTTTGACCTCCAGGATCTCGGATATCGAACTTAGTTTTCAATTTGGTGCACGGAGGCTGCAGAAAATTAATTTCAGAGTACCGCTGAAGCCCCTTTTTCCCGAAGCATCACGTCATTAAAATCAGTTTTCAGAATCTCCGCTCTCGCGCATTTTCAGCGCCATCAAAGCTATGCACGCGCACGCTTGCCATTTTCAGAGAGGTCATAAAAATACACCACGGCTGGTGTCATTGCGGGGGTGTATACGTGGCAACCTTACAATTGCACGCTCTGACCACACGAGCGACACGCGCTTCGCGGCAGATATATCCTTTTATGACGTAACGCCTGGTCGGAAATGTTTCGTGATTTCTCGCGTTTAGTTACATCTTCGAGGGAAACGAACGTGATATTCAGATTCACGTGATAAAAACATTCTATAATTCACCTCCGACTCTTTTTTAGTGCGCAGCTCTTAAAGGGGCCCTGCAACAACTTTTTGACTGGTTTTTAATTTGCACCAAACCTGAGCGCACTGAACGTAGTAACTTAAAGAAACTTTTCTCACATTTCGCTTTATTTTAAAAGTTATAGGCAAATTAGAATTACAAAATCAAGCAAAAAATAACCTCCTTCGTGATGTCGTAGGTCCTGGCTTGAGTGGCCGTCAACTAGAGGAGGAGTAGTGAGCTCATCGAGCGCTCACGGCTGCCGCACTCCGTGTCGACTGCTCGAGGGGGCGCCACTAAAGCACGTGTTGGATAGGCTGTATGAAGCGGCCGGCCAGGGCGGCTCGAATTGCATTTGCTGCACGATTAAAGACTAATTCGGCATAACACTTCATTGGCCACAAACGACAGCAAACACGGGGTAAAGATCAGTTCACAACGGGAGCCACTTCGCGCTGCCATACCGCCAAATGCCCAAATCGCCAGCCAAGCCCGCGCCGAAAGTCTTCGGAACGCTCGGAACCGGTCGGATCCTTGAGCCGGTATACGACCGCAGCGCCGCCGCGTACATCCGGGACCTTTCTACGCTCGCTGTTCGTTGGCGCCTCATCCCACTAGCCCTTTCTAGTATGCGCCGTTTTTTCCGTTGCTTGGTGGCGGGTTTGTCGACGGGTCTTTTCTTGTTTCTGTACTTAATAAACTGCATTTGTTTCTTTTCTTACCTAAAATACTGAACAAAAACTACTTTCATACATAATTGAAACGGTTCGCGACACTTATATTTTGTATCTCGACTAAAAAAAAATGCTTTTAGCGGCTTTGACCAGTAGTAAGCCCAGGACCAAAGACGTCACATGTTGCGCGCTTTCGGCAACGCGGGTCGCCCTCGTAGGTGGAGGAGGTCTCCACGTCGTCCGGTTAAAATATGACTCACTGATATTTAGATACTCTCTCCGTGCCCGCTGGCTTGCCCGAACCCCAAGAGACGTGGAAACCGCAAAAAAGGTAGACGTTTAAATATGATTGGAGGGCCCCTATAAGGGCGCGTTTCCGCCTTGAGCGGTGTCACCATCGCCGTCGCCGTCGGCATAACCGTGCGGTCACGTGACCCCGGTGACGCCACGTGACCCCGGTGACATCACATGACCCCCGTGAGGTCACTTGACCTCAGTGACGTCACGTGACCCCCTTGAGGTCACGAGGGTAAAGTGACCTCACGGTTTCGCCGATGCCGCTTGCAGGGAGGAGTAGCAGGCAGGATGAGGAGGTGAGTAGGAGGGAGGAGGGGAATACCCTCTCCTCAGTACCCTTCCCTCCTTCTTCTCAAGAGCTGCGCTGTAATTCCGTGTTACAAGGAGTTGTAAACGGCTCTCATTTTTTTTTTTTTTTTTAAGAAAGATAACTTCTTTTTAAAGAAGCTATCAATATTCTATGCAGAAACGAAATACATACCCCCGGGCGGTGCTTATTTAACTAATAATTCACCCCTGGATAAACAACGTCGCAGGCCTTTACTTCATACTTTCCCACGGTTGTCGCGAATGCTTCAAAAGTGCAGTGCACACCGTAACGAATACTTCACGAGACTCGCGATGACGCGTCCTCGTATCCCAACAAAGGGTTCCTTCCTCGAGATCTCAGGATGCGCGCGGAAGGAGACGAAGACATGGCGTTATTATAATGTACGTTATTGCGCGACCAAAGGTGTCGCTGCGGTAAGCTTTCTACTACTGGCCAAACCATGGGCATATGAACATTGTCAGGTTGTCAACTTTGGCGGTGTTAGTTTCGGACTGTGGTGGCTCCTAGCTTCCACTTTGCTTTTTAAACACACCATCGAACTTGTCGTCGCACCTGATGGTAAGTAGCCAGGTTAACAACTGGTGACGTCACGGCGAGGCAAATCCCAGTCGTGACGTCACGGATGGAAACCATAAGAGGGCGCCACCGAAACATCTCGGCGCTTATAGACCGATCTCACTAAGCGTTCCACGCATGCGTGACGCCGCCATAACTGTAGTTCATAGGATGCAGACGCCAGTTCACGAGACAGCTCATGCCGCCTCGTGCACTGCTCGTTCAGACCTCCAGCGGGGTTGTCGCACGCGCAGAAAGACTACAGCTCCCACAATGCTTGGCGGCAGCGGTGGCGTACTCGAACTAGCTGGTGAGATCGGTCTATTGGCGACGTGAGCGATCGAAAACGTCGCTGTTATCGGTCCACCACAATTGGCCGAATGCTGACTATGACGTCACCAAAGGATGTCTCATTGACGGAAATAAGAGGAATGTAAGAACTTCAATTTTGACGGTACTGGCAATGTTGATTTGAGGGCGCTATGATTTCAGCCTTCCACCTGGTCATTACAAACACCATTGAACTTGTTGTTCACAAGGTAATGACATCACGAAATGTAACCAAACGAGGGCGCCACCGAAGCATCTCGTCGAGGTTAAAATTGGCCCTAGTGTCTATGTAAGTCCTGGGATGAAAATTGAAGCAAACAGCATCCAGTCTACTTTTTTTGTGCTCCGAAAAAAAAAAACAGAGAACTTTTGTTGTTTGGGTCGTATCGGTTAGTATGTGCCTTTATTATTATTGCAAAAGGGTAGTTGCTTTAGGTAAGATATATTTTATTAACAAAGTGAACGATGTTAAACTTTGCCATATTCTAGGTCCAAGCCTCCAAGTCCAAGCCAACAGTACATAAAAACAAGCGACGATTTCAAGCAAAATAACAAACGAAAGGAGCGTAGAGCGTATTCAACGTAGGTTCGCCAGCATTCCGGCGACGCTTATATATTGATAATATGCCAGTCCTATCACTGCATGAAAATGACCCCGTCGTGCATCTTTGCGAACGGTCTAAAACGTTCAAAACGTAAAGAATGAAAAATGCCTATTTCTATTATTTCCTGTGCAGGGCAGCTTTTATCGGGCACCTGATCTCTGGCTTCTCTATATTCTCAAAGATTTCGTGCGTGCGGGTGATATTTTAAACCCAAAACAACCATCTTCGCGCAAATACATTGAGAAGAGAAAGCAATACTTATTTATTGCAAATATGACTATATTACTTGGCCTTCCCTTAATTTTTATCGTCTACATGCACAAGAAGTTACCGATCCCGTGTTGCTGCGTAGACCTCCACATCTCTCTTGGTTTTCCAGCACACTCCAGCTAAATCTCTATCGTGCATCATAATAACTCTATGGTCGTAGCGAATTAAACAGAAAACAAAACATTTCTTCGCTTCACTGCATGACGGCTGGCGCCGTAGCAGCGAACGATGGCAGCGACCGTGGTGGGGTAAAAGCCGCGCAACCGGCGTGCAACACGAGCGCCAGTGCCGCGGCTGCGGTGAGGGCGAAAACTACTTCTGAGTGACTGAGGTCGCTGAGTGAGTGAGAGAGTAAGTGAGCTCGATGAGGGGCGTGAGTTCGTGAGTTCATGAGATTGGTGAGTTCATGAGTTTGGTGAGTTTATGAGTTCAGCGACGGAGTTTATAAGTTCATGAGTTTAGTGAGGGGCGTAAGTTCTTAAGATCAGTGAGGTGCGTAAGTTCGTGAGTTCAGTGAGGGGCGTAAGTTCGGCGAGTTCATTTATTTGTAAGTGAGAACTTGAATGTGACTGCGGCCGTGAGGGTGAGGGTAAGCAAGCTTTTAACTTTTTTTTTAATTTTAATCTGCCTGTGAGTGAGTTCAACCAAAAATGCCGACCTCTGGCCCAGAGCTCACCTGCCAGTCGTGGTTGACGAGGGCCTCGTAACGTCGAAGGATGCGCGTGTAGATGTAGATGCGATGCGGAATGCTGCTGTTCTCCAGGTCTACGGCGAGCTCGTCCTGGGTGTAGCTGCTGGTCTCTTCTTCAACCACGTAGCGACGGCTTTCCTGGACCCGTCCAATGAAGCCCGTCCAGGACTCGTGGATGGCCTGAGCCACGTCGTCGGCTCTGCACTCGGAAGACGACGCCCAGGACCGCACGAAAGGGGAGTCGAACTGCAGTACCCGGCGACGCAAGGTGTCACCAAAATAAAACTTAAAAGTGTATGACCTTTCAATCAAAAGGAAAAGATGTAAAAACGATTTTCAATTTTTAAGGCAAACATACATTTTCAAGCATAACATCGTTGGTAACTGCTAAGACGTAAAAAAAGATGCACGAAAGCAACGTTATTTTTCTCTCTTCTTTTTCTTTCTATTGGAAAACAACATTCTGCATCAATCTAAAAAAAGGGAAGCGGTATTTAGTACCTCCGGGGACCAAATGCGCTGCCACCACCACTAGCCCCCTGGGGAGTTGGGGAGGGGAGCAACCTTTGCGCAGCTCCCGTCAGTCTCTCAGAGTTAAACCCCCAGGACAAACCTTTGCACCCTTGCATTTAATCCACTAGGACTAAACGTTGCGCCGTTACATTTCGACCCCTGGGACTAAATGTTGCGCCCTTGCCTTCACACTCCTGGGACTAAATGTTGGGCCCTTGCTTTTACATTTCGACCGCTCCGACTTAAAGGTAATTTTTTACATTTGGTGCCGAGCCACTAAATTTTCAACCCGAGTTTTTAGTCCTACCGGACTAAAGGTTGTACCCCAAAAACTGCGCCCCACTGAAGAAATGTGCCTCATACAGATATAATGGTTGCCGAGTGTGTAGCAATCTCACAAACAAGACGTTGCAGTTCAAATCAAATGTACTTTTAAAAAAGCTAATAGTATTTTCTATGTCTATGTCTATGTCTATGTCTATGTCTAACAACTTTTGTCACATATGTTACTAGGTACCTAGTAACCGCAGGTAGTGACGGTAAGGCTAGTAATGGTTACTAGGTCAAAAAGCTAGTAACGGTTCCTAACCGGCCTAGTATCTTTCACCGCCTTTAGCTACTGGCACTAACTCTCACAAGACCCAGATGACGCTTGTCATCGTCAAATTCAAAATCGGCAAAAAAACATATTGCTGTGATAGCTTTTTTTACGCCGATAACATTCACATTTTCACAGCACTTATGTCACATTTCCGCACGCAATATACATTTAACATAGACAAAGAAATTAGAACACAGAAGACACACACACACAATACACACGCGACGACACGTCAATTCAATCGCCGCCCCCAAACGCTAGCCAAGCGCTTTTTATACTAATTATTAGAAATAAGTCGTGTGATCAGTAAGCACCTCGTCCGTGAAGGAAACATGGTGCTGTTTTCGCACCAATATCATTTTCCGATGTTGTTGCTAAACTTTCCAAGGAGTGTATCTCTTACTAAGAAGTAACAGTACATAGAGTAATTATATGCGACAGGTTATAAAACAGCTTCCCCATAGGTTACCAGCAGCCATGTTCTCGCTTCCCCGCATAGACTGCCCCACTTTATGTATGCGCGCCTTCGTGGCAACAGCATCGTCCCTTGTGAAAGAGAAATATATATATTAAAAAATGCAAGAATAAAAAAAAAACATAACGAACCATTTTTGTTTTTGGGCGCGTTTTTAGTACGTTCACGTGGCTATTTCATCCCAGTTAAAACCAAAACGAAAATATAAACACTTCCAAAGAATGCAAACGGTCAGCAGTGCATGCAGCGGTCAGAAGCCGCATGGCCAGTGCATCAACGGTGGCCGCGCTGGCGGCAGCTCTGGTTTCCACGATGCGCTAGAACACAGGCTGCGATCGTTATAAAGTCAGCTACAACCCTTAAGCATGACCCCTCCTGCAATATTTATTGCTACGATTGTCTGTAGATACATCCTCCTGCGTCGTTCCGACACAGCAAGTGTGTCCCTAACACTGGCCATCGACGATGCAGCAGACGCCGCCATCTTGTCCACGCTTTTGGGGGACTAAAGCATAGAGATGCGCCATGTCTTAGGAGGATAAATGGCTGGTTTTGCTCGCGCAGGCCTCTCAGTTAGGCCCGGTCGAATGCAGTTAGTCCTCAGAATTTCCGTAAGAGACTATAACACGATTTCAAGAAGCGCTGACAAGCAGAGCTTAGACAATGAAAAAAAGAACCCGTAACGCACGGCTTTGTAGAGGTTCACGACGCCCTTCTGGACCTGGTTTCCGAACTCGCTCCAGATGAGGTCCAGGTGCTCGGCGAGCCAGTAGCCGACTCCCTCTTTGACGAAGACGTCCTGCAGGTGGCGGATGTTGTCCGCACAGGCCAGCTCGCCGTCCAGCTCGATGGTGCGCGCCAGCTTCTCCAGCTCGCCCTCGAGGATCTCGCGGTGCACGATGGCCGTCCGCAGCAGATGCACGTCCACCTCCCGCAGCGCCATGAGCCACTGCTGCGGCGAGTCCTCGTACTTCTGGTAGAGTGAGAGGAAGTTGCCGGCCACGTGTCGCTGCGTCGCCCACCACACTTCGCGCATGCGCAGCAGGAGGGGAAGCAAGTCGTGGGCGAAGAATTCGGACCTCGTCGGCTCCAGGCCTGCCAGGATCTCGCTCGTGGCATGGGCAACTTGGTCCCCGACGCGCTGCCACACTCGCGTCACGGCCTGCGTGAACGACGTGCGCTCGCAAGTAACGCGGGAGTAGAGCACGTGTTGTGCTCAGGTTGAAGGACGAAATAATCTTTCGTGTCAATGGAATGCTAAATATCAAGCCTCGAGCGCTATTTCAATGCTAAACCCTTCGTTGAAGCGAACGAAGCATGCAGCTTCTTCCATCCAGATAGAACAGCCAAAGAAAGGCCGTTGTAAACAACCTGTAAAAGCGCTCTTCGACTTGGTTATATTTGTGTCCAGCTCGACATGCTCGCAAGTAAATTTCGCTAAAACTATGCTGTTTGGAACCGGCGTCTTCGGCCTGAGTTTTTAGCGCACCTCCCATTGTACAGTAAAGCGATACAATTTCGCGATAGACCCTTTTCTAAAGTGCAAGCCACCTAGTAGCTGCTGCGCCATTTTTCCGAGTTCATCCATGGCCTCCGAGATTCTTGGCGCGCAAAACTATCCTCCGGCCATTCATTCGTCGGTTAAAACTGAGATACAGAACAAAAAAAAAACAAAAAAAATGACTCGAGACCGTTTTTGCGGAGCGGTAGCGCTAAGTTGACAGGCACAGAAATTATCTTTGAGCCTTGCTTGTCTAACTTCCCGGATATAAAAACGGAGCTCGTTTGCCCGAAAGAAAATAACTGCCAGAACAAGAACTGAGAGCACGAGCTAAGCGGCGCTTGAATCATGCGCGCCTCAACCTCCGCAGTGTGAAGGAAACACACAGTTTTAGATACTGATGTCGGCTTTGTATATCAGCACCGCCTAGTGGAGCTCTGTAGAAGCTTGTGCTCTACGCTTCTTCTCCTAGGTGAACGAGCGTTTAGAAAGGCCTTAAAGTAAGCTTTGCGCGCCAAGAAGCTTGAAGGCCATGGTCTACAATTGTTTGGGCACGCATCCTGAGCATGTATACATTCGACTGGAGGGCTGCCTCATCCATCATGAACTCGGCTCTGCTCTTATTGGAAACGAGTTCTGCGTCTGCGTTCGGCCAAGACTCGTAGCCAATCACACGCTTCGTGCCCCAATAAATGGCGACCACCAGTGTTGCTTCATGGGGTTTTCAAAAGGGTCCCTTCTAGTGTTTGTTTGTAGAAGGGCCGTCGAAAAAGTACGCCAAGAGGCATCGCTTTTGCCGCGTTGGGTCCTCGTGTAAATAGTTCGGTTCATACATGAAAGGCAAGGGCATAGCCACGGCAATGTCCGCGCCATCATTAGAGCCTCTTATATCCCAGAGGTTATAATGTAGCGGGAGCAAAGCACACACAGAAATAGTGAAACATTCAATTATTTGCGTGCACGACTTAAACAATAGTAGTCTTAGAACTAAAAACCCCATTAAAAGATTGATCCGGCGGGTTGGCCGACAGGCACACTCTGCATCTGCCACGCCATTATTTATTTTATGCGGTCGTGACCGGGGCATCACGTACGCCGCGTTTAAGTCATCGAAAGTTAAAATCTTCATATATGTGACGTTAAAACATGTAAACCAATGCAGGCTTCAGATTTTTTTCACCAGTATTAGGAGACTTTTGCGGGGCGCATGGTTGGTCAGAGCATGTGTTTGCGAGCACGCCCAACCAGCGCTCTGCCATGGCGTTCCTTGGGCGTCACAACCCATGGCTGATGCCATATTTCCGTCGCCCGGCGGGCTGCAGAGCTGGAAACATCAGGGCCGGCTCTTGCTAGAATCAGCGTATTAGCTTACACTGCATGAAAAAAGCCTGCTAAGCCTGGAGCGCACGAGCGCGCGAGGCTCGGCTTCACATGCCACTTCGCTCGTGCGCCAGCTTCGACAGTGCTTTTTTTCGCACAGACCCAGCTGAGACGCCGAGTTTAGCCAGCTGGCTCCAAATATACGTCGCACGTATCCACTGCACTAACACCAACGTTGAATAACCCCACCAAGTACGCGGCGATCCACTGCACTTCCTCCCCGTTGTGACGCCACCAGGTGGAAATCGAAGCGATTAATCAAAGAGCCGGCAAACGCACCAGTCGGGTACGCGTTCCAGACACGACAGCTACATCTCCAGAAAGCGGATGAAACGGAACCAGACGCTCGCCTTGGTGAACTCGTGTAGCTTCCCTTGCTTCTTCCAGCTGAGCACGACGGAGGCTCTCTCTGAGAGCTCCTTGAGAACTTCCAAGATGTTGTGCAGGTTCCCTTTCCAGTACGTCTCGAAGATGGCGTGCGCCCCGAGCACGTAGGCCCGGTGTTTCTGCGAGGGTCCCCGCTCCGCCACGGACTCCAGCGAGCCCGACGTGCTCGCCGGGTCGGACGGCGCCATCCGTGGCGGGTTCAGACTCGGCAACGGGTCGGTCTGCTCAAGCCTGCGAGCGACGACCGAGCGCGGCTCATGACAAAGCGTGGAATGCCTTTCCATAAAAAACCCAGAGACTTGTTCGTCCGTCCATCCGTGCATGTCCCCGCTAAAACTCATCTGATTTGTTGTTGTTGCTGCTGTTCACATGTTCCTTTTTTTTTTTTTAGACAATGAGTGTGCTGGTACTTGCTTCCCATTTTTGCTTTCATTTTTTGTGGAATCGTCGTGTAATGTTTTATAGGATTATTGTCATTATATGTAACTACTTTAAGCTGTTGAACTTTAAAGGGCAAAGGCTTTACCGTGCATCCCGCCTTTATCTTTTTCCCCGACGCGGTAAACCCGCGATAGAAATTAAGAAAAAAGAATCAGGGGAAATTGACGTCACAAGACCTATACGCCATTTTAGTTTTCCTACAACATTTAACGGGAAAATCAATCAACAATAGGTTCGTCTTCACTCCCCGAAACGACTGTTCAATGTCTTCTAAACAAATTGAAATTATCCCGCAATCACTGCATTCCGTGGATTTTGTAACGCTGGAGATAAAGGCGCAGCCAGTTGTACCGACGGCGATAACAACATAATTAGGGGTCGCGACGTCCACAGATACAATACGATACAATAGAATACAATTTTTATTTGGCTCTCAAAATACAGTTCAAATGTAAATTCAACATAAGCCATTACTGGCTTGTGCTTGGGACGGGACAGATTCCTCTGCATATTTTATTAGAGAATTAAGAAACCTGCACTATACTTCGTTTCAGCTTCGGTCCAGACGCAGCCAAAGCTACAAGCGCGAGCTCCGGGCTTTCAGCATCCCTGCCAAGCACGCGCGCTCGTGCAGTGCAAGCACTGTTCTGGGCCACATGCTCGCGCTTGTAGCATCGGCTGCGTCTGGACCGAAGCTGAAACGAAGTATAAAGCGCGCCATTGCAAAATAAATGGAGCTTTTATCTGCAGAAATATGTAGTTACAGCATATTCCACTAATTCATTAAACTGCAGCAATGTATAAAATATGTGGGATTTTGGTGTTACTTAAGTCACGTCGTTAACTATAATTCAAGTTCTCGAAGCGAACCAATTTTCTATGAGTGTCTTTTACTCTGTTCAAGAATATAAGTGTTTCCCAGCTTTTTTTTATTTTTGGAGATTTTATGCTGAGTAACTCTTTAGGTAATTCATTAAAAGTCTTGAATAGATAATTAATTATTTGGCATCTCCGTATTTGGTATAAACTAATGGTTCGATTAATTTTCTATTCGGTCTTAACGTTCTTCCTTTGGCATTTTCCACTTTGTCTGTCCGTTGAAAGATTTTTTTATTATAATATCGTATTTCATCCGGTCTCTAAAACGAAACATTCGTAGTTCCTTTTGCATATAGTTTTGCTGATTAGTTTCTTCGCTTTGGTAACTAATACTTTTTGGCTACCTTTTTTTGGACCGATTCTATATTTAGTTCGAGATATTTGGCGCAGTGTCCGTATACTGTTATTCCATATTGAAGTGTGGACTTGCCCAGTTAATTGTATATCATTCGAATTATAAATCGAAGGATCAGATCTTGTATGTGATACATCTGCGCCATTAATATCCTTAATATTTTACAAATTTGTTCTATGTGAATATTTCATTTTATATGTTTGACTTTGTGCATCCCTATTTACTTGCCATTATCAGCACATTTCAGAGGAACGCATGACCAATTATTACGATTCTGCTTTTGCATTTTCATTGGTAATTCGGTTAGGATTTTTCTCGGGTCTCTGAAGCATATTACGTGTTTTAAAAACGCTTAAAACAATTTGACTTTTTCCCCAGTTTTTTCTGTTAATTTATAAACGTCTTCATGTATCGCCTTTACACCTACTTTGTAACTTTTTGTGTACATGTACAATTACTGTATCATCTACAAATTGAAAGTACTCACTTCATTATTTGACCTGGGCTATTTCGTTAATCTAAGAAATAAAAAAAAATAGTGGACCGAGGACTGTACCTTCCGGTACTCTTTGCGTGACCTCGATTACTCTGCTAGATTTTGAGCCTAGTCGTACTCTTTGATACCGGTCATTAAGATAATTATGGACTTATGCATCTTTCCCCGTTTACCAATACTGTGTAATCTATTTAGCAATATATTATGGTTAGAATATATTCACTACTGTTCATATTTTAATTTACAAAGTAAAAAAGTCGTCTAACAGTTCACTGGTTCCTATGCGCTTCCTGAATCCATATTGCGTGCGAGTTAATAGAGAGTTTTAGTAGATCGTTCCCATGACTCCGATAACGATATCCCGATACTTCGCCGCCGCCTCCCTTGTGCATGCGGTGCATGCATATAGTATCGTTATCGGGGCTATCGGAGGTATCGGAACGATCTACTAAAACTCCCTAATATACATGTCTACTCGCGTGCTTTGCTGCCTCGTTCTTTGGCACCCTGATAACGTGCCTTACATTAGTCAGTCCGGGAAATAAAAAGGGTAAGAGCTGTCGCGCTCTAGTACTCATAGACACTTGATGGCACAAG